ACTTCAACTCCCATCATCACAAAGTTTCCAAGAAAAGTGCAATTACTGGAGAATTGAACAGAATTGATCACGAATATAGTGAAAGAATAACAACTTGCTCTGAACTAAAATCACTCCTTTTGAGCAATGAATGTCTACCTTCTTACAACAAATTTTCAAGATCTATAATGTGCAAAAGTCAGCATCACACTTCCAACATGAAAAACACAGATAGGAGGAAAAAAAGACAATTTTCCAAAGATAACAGAAAAAAGATTATGGTACCACTAATTGATGACACTATCTCCAAGAAAACAAAAACTATAATCAGAAAACCTGAACTGCTGATTAAAGTTATAAAATGGCCAAGTCCAACCCTCAGAAGCCACCTCTTTCGAAATCTCGGTACACTACCCTACAATGTAACAAAACTTGTTTGCAATTTAAAGATGGGTATCTTGTCTCCAGTGTTGTTTGCCAGCTTACACGTACCATACACACACACAAGGATATGAGAACATATTTACGCTCTTTATAAACAATAACATGAAAGAAGTGCAGTTGCAGATAATTTTTTAACTAATTGTGGACAAGTAACACCTGACATGAAACAACAATTCTCTGTACATATCCTTACCAAAGCCACCAAGTACACTGACAGAAATTTTAAAGAAACTCTTCTCATTGAAAAACTATGACCACAGATGAATAGGGACAAAGAATGACATCTATAATTTTAATTATTTTATTTTGTGATCATATCTTTTGTTATTTCAATCTGTAACTTGGATATAACTTTTGCTTACTACAGGTAGTAGTTAATTATTTCAACAATACAATTGTTTTAACAATAAGCTTTACTACTTAATATATCAAATACATGCTACAGATTTAATTATAACTTATTGTTTAAACCATTGGAAGCTTTGTACTGTCAGTTATGGTTTTTGTTTTAATGGAATGTTCCTGGAGAAGCTGTAAAGCGAAATGTTGAGTGTCCAATGAAAGAAAAATAACAAATTTAGTGTTCTAAGATCATTTCTTTCTTGTATTAAAATGTCTTTTATACACCAATATGCACTACAGAAATTAAATGATAACATTTTCTGAAATAGTGATGTACCAAATTGCTTGGGGATCCATGATTTTATTGGTTACAGAGCCCCTAATAACATATGAGCCACAAAGAAAAAATATAATAAGAATATTGTGAATTTTGCTGTTAATTCCACTAATTACTGTTGGGGTATCTTACATGACTTCACTGGGTTTTTATCTTTATCAGTTCTTTATAAGTTAAGACAAAAGCACTCAATACAGTAGAGTTTGTAGACCCCATTGGTGATGAAAAGTGTAAAAACTATTTGATAATTTAATGGTTAATATGAAATATATTTTCCTTCTCTTTATAAATGTATTTACATTGTATGTATGTAGTGTTTTTATAATTATATTTTCATGGATTTTTGGTATCATTTTATCCAAATGAAATATAATTTTGGGTATCAGAAGTGACCTAGAATTTGAAAGAATTCATGCACAGATGTTTTGTATGTTATACTTAACTTATTTTGGAGCCTTGCCATGTCATTACAGTCCATATTGCCATGCATCTTTCCTATAGCCTTGCAGTCTAATTTCTGTGTAAAAGGTTATGGTGAAAGACTGTCATGTCTAAAACACACCAGTCCTCCTTGCATGCTTTCTTATTCCACCTAATTTGAGGACAACAGTTTCCCAGCTCCAGTTTCAACAGTCAGATCATGCAGAAACCCACAGATCCTGCAAGTTGGCTGGTATATTTTCATGTGTTGCATCTAGTAAGTTGACTGGTATGTTTTTGTATTGAATAACATCAGTCCTTCATCTATGAAAAATGCACGAGAGCTGTAAACAGCTCCTACCAAACAGCTACAGGTAGCAGCATGCCACTGAACTATCATGATTTTCAATCAATATAGCAGTCATTGTGGCCATATGTCATGCAGAAGGTACTTCATCAAATGCAATTTAGGTCATGATTACATTTGTGGAAATCCTTGTAGGTAGTCTAAATTTGGCTAGTAATTACTATCCAATTTTGCAATTTAAAGTTTAAAATGCTGATTTAGTTTCTCAGTTACAAATATCTGAAGTCTGTATACAATAATATAGATTGAAAATGTTGTATTAAAGTGTGTGTAACATTGCTAGTCTAAACCAGTTAAGAATAAAGTATCAGAGTCATAATAGCTAACAGGGTCACGTGAAGTCATCTGTGAGCTAGTCTGTGTTTACAACTGACAGCATGGCCAATACCAAGATAAATAATAATAGGATCTGAATTCAAAAGTATTTGTTCCTTGGTAAGAATATAAGAACAAGTAATGGGCCTAAAACAGTAGGCATCATGACAGACTTGATGGGAAGCTTTAACAAGCCCCTGCAAAACTCATTTTATGGGCACTTTTGAGCATCAGTGTGATGATGCCTGTCATTTGTTAAGGACTGTAACATGAATATCAGTTTCTTTCTCTTGCTACTTGAGATATGCAGATGTTGAATGGGAGGTATCATGGGAAACCTTATTTTGTTGAATTCATATGCCATTGGCCTCATTTTTAGACAAAGATCCTCCTTGATTATGCTGCATGAGATATGTGGTCAGCTTTTGCCACAGATCTTGGTGTATATGGATTCTCATCTATTACAAAACAACACTGCTAACCATGGCTAGGGTATGACTTGTTGCAGGCCTCATTGTGGATGGTTCTGGTACTCCAAGTTTATCCATATTCTTTACTTTACCTAACAATGCCTTGTGGTAGGCAAAGGTTATTTTCCTACTCTTGACTTGAAATTTATGAAAGACTAAAGGAAAGGAATTTGGTAAATAACATCTGCAGTCAATCATGATTTTCAATAGACTAATTATGACTAACAAATGTCCTTGTTTTACTGGCTTAGGTTGTTTTAGGAAGATAATTTGAAAGTTTTTATTGGTGCATTCATTATTCATAACATGTGGACAACAAGGGACCATCTGGTCTTTCAAGGCTGCCCCTGTACACCCACTCCGGAAATAAAGTAAACATTTAGATCTACATTTCATTTTTCAGCAAATCATCTTGCTCTCTTTAAATTATTGTTAGATGCCAGCCTCACTGTTATTGGTGGTGTAACTCATTCCTTAAGCTAATCACCGTTTCAAAACTAGACATCTTAACTGGAGCATAGCCTGTCCTTTCACAGTCTTAAACTTGTATTCTCTAACTTTAATGTTTTCAGAATACAGTAAAAAGAAATTAGAGACCTTTATTTTATCAACCTCTTTATTAGTCTTGTAAACCTATCCCTAATAGATAACTCTTCCATCCTCAGAATCATTCAAGTAGATATCTTCTGAATCCTTTCAAATAAGTCAATATTTTTTCTTAGATAAAAATACCAAAATCCTAATTATTATTCTAAGTGAGGCTTAAATAGTGATTTGTGTAGAGATAACTTTTGCCTTGTAATGTCAACAAATACAACCTACAATTCTATTAGCTTACTAACAGCAACAGATCTTTGCCTCAGTGGTCCTTAACTGAATTAAATTCTTGCTGAGATACTTTTCAGTCATGCTGTTCAATGAATTTCTGTCCATATTAAATGCATGATTCAAAAATTACCTTGCACTTCTTACAGCTAAAGGTCGTTTGCCAAAAAACAAAAAACAATGTTTTTGGCACAATGAAAGGTAAAATTTTTATTAGTTACAAGTGACTAGTTTTGGTAACACAGTTACCATCATCAGAGCTAGTATATACAATGTTAGCATATATTGAGCTACAATTGTTGATTAGTGACTTCATTTTTAAAAACAAGTGGTGGAAAGTAAATTGTAAATGAGTGATTACTTAAGATAAATAAGTATTCCAATAGGACATGTTGATTGGTCTATCATCTCTATTTATATACACATATCTGTTTTTAATTATACAAATACTCTCTCTTAAGCTCCTTCGTATGATTGTTTCTGCATTCTTAAGGTCTTTACATTTTTCCAGTCATAATTACCAACACAGTTCCATAAATGTTCAGCTACAGTAGAGGACATAGTGTTGCCATATACTGGTGTTCTTTCAATGTTTTTTTTTTATTTTATACTTGCTTATCCCATGTAAATTTTACTACAGCTACAAATGATTTGCTAAATTCTGTTTGTATCTCCAATTTTTTTTTAGGATCTTTGAGTGTTTGTATTGAGATGGTTGACAGTTTTGTGTTGTGGAATTAATGCTACTTTTTATCCATTTAATTGGAATGCTTTAGAAATTTTTTCTGAAATCCCAAGGAAAAATGGTATACTAATGAACTTTTTTGAGATGTCTTTAAGGGAGTTAATTCAAAGTATTTCATTTGTAGATGTCTTTTGTTCATTTTTTGGAAAACTCTGTCAACAATAATAGGGTCAAAACCTCTATCTACTTCTACTGCTTTTAAATATACTTTATCGTTGTTTATATCTGTAATATCAGAACATATATTAATAACACACCAAGTGTATGTGTAAAATGTGCTTAGTTTCTGACTTACAGGATGGTTAGTTATAATGTAGTGGTATGCTGAAAGCAAAAGGTTTTTGAAATGCACTGAATTTTAATTTATTATAATGTCTTTGAACAAGAACATCTAAGAACATGTATGTCAGTTTTTGTGTTTTGTACTCTTAATATAGTAGCACAATGTATTTGAGAAGAAATTACCAATTGATGTTAATAATTTTGTAAAACCTTAACATCTTCAATACAGCTAGAAGAAGAAGAAGAGTTAAATGTCATCAGCAATTATACTAAATTATTGATTATGCTAACTCAACTTGTAAGATATTTTTGCATACTATTCATAATGTAATTACAGTAATTAAAAAGTTTTTCTTCCATGTATTTCAACTCAAATTATAAAATAATTTAGAAAATACACTGCTAATGTTTTATTTTAAAATAAGTGATAACAGTGAATTAACCATTTTGTTATTTCCCTTTGGTGGATGATAGTGTTGCGCATTTAAAAGGAGTTATTTCTAAGGAGTGCAAGATTCCTGAAGAAAAACAAGTTCTTTTGGCCAGTGGAGGTGAAACTTTGGATCATCCAAACCGTGTTTGTAGCTATAGTGCAGGAACTGACACAAGCCCAATTTTCCTTTTCAGCAAGGTAGCAATAGAGTCACCTTCTCCACCTGTACCAAGTATTGATTATGGGACAAGTGAGCTCTATTTTATAAATTTTCCTTTGTTATTATGTTTTAGTATTTTTTCATACTGAAATGAGGTTTAGAAAGTATTAAGCATAATCACAAATATACATACATACATAAAGATTGTTAAGGTACATAAAATATTAGTTATAGTAGGTTTAGTGATAAATTTACACAATGTAAATGTTGTGAGAAGTATCCTTCTCTTAGGAACAAGTTAGATTTATAATTCAGTTACTTGGTTCATGTGAGGAGTTGTCAATTTGTGGAATTGAAATCCTACCAGCACTGGGTAGATTGTTTAGGGATTAGAGCTGGTTGAATTACTAGATTAATCAATACAATCACTTACCTATGAGCAGCAAATACATTGTTAAATTTTTTCATAAACTAAGCAATTAATTAAATTCATGATTAATCGATTACTGTCACAAAAAAGTCAACAATTTGAAATTATTGTTTGATTATTCCAATAATCAATTAATCAAAATTATAATTAAATCAAGTGTCATGAAGATAATCAAATAATTGTAATTAGTAGTCCTCATTATTACTATTACTGAAAATGAGAAGCATAATTCTTTCTTTATTCATTCAGCATATCTAAATGAATTTACATGTTTTTATTCACTTTGCAGTTTCACACTACTTGTTACCCTTAATTTTCAATTCTAATAAAAGTTGCCAAGTTTGTCAGTAGCTTTACTTAAAATCTACACTGTAGCTAAATATTGAATAATGTCAATACCACGGTGGCCTCTTAGCTATTGGGCATTGGCAATTCTCCCTCATGTCATCAAAGAGACCAACTTGGTCTTATTGACATTCCTGAGCCCTAACACAGTGTGATCGGGGTCAACCTGTTGTCAACTGCTCGTAATACTGGCATCAGGTTATCACAGAGACTGATGCAATCTTACAGTCATCCCATGAGACAGCATGATTGGGGTCAACCAAAATTGACTATTATGGAGTATATATAGCTGCAAGTCTGCAATATGACTTAAACTAACCTTACAAATATTAAAACCATAAAATCTGACTGTGGGAGCTAGCTTATTCTCTTGCCTGTAATTATTGTAGACGCCCATGCTTGTGTAATATTGTTACAGTTGTTGCACTATCCTATTCATTCTTGTTTTTGTTTTTTTAATTGACTTCATCCTTTTATTATGTATTTGAATAATTATTACTTAATGTTGTATACGTAGGCACAGATCTGGGGGATCTAGCTCCCCCTCCTTTTTTTTCAAAGATTAATTAAAAAAAGCCAGACTGTGTGTTTGTTTTTTTAGGTGAAGTAAAACAAATACATTTAGCATCTCCACCCACTTTTTTGCAGCTGCTTTCCCCCACTTTCCCTTTTTTTAAATAATTATTTTTCAATCATACAAAAAAGGCTTCTGAAGAAAAAAATGATACAAACACAGTTGATTCATTTTGCCCTCTTTCTGTATTTATCATAAATTCTGTATTGTTTTGATGAAAAAAATTAAACAAAGAGGACCTTTTTTTTTTACATGAACCCTTTGAAAATAAGTAAGAACCTTCAAATATAGGGTGCAAACTTACTTGCAAAAAGGTCATTTGAAAGAAAAGGACCTCCTCCTTCAATGTTTTGAAAACTTGGGATGATAAATATATTCTTTTTTTTTTACTTGGTCTTAAGCACAAAGCTACACAATGAGTTATCTGTGTTGTGCCCACTGCAAATATCAAAAGCCAGTTTTTAGCATTGTAAGCCCCTAGGCTTACCACTGAGCCATAGCAGGCAAATAGCCAGACATTCTTACATTACTATATAGTATCAAAAAGAAACATTAGGTGTCAGTGTTTTTATTTGATTGGGCTAATAATTACCCCAAAAGCTTTTTGAGGTCTAATGAAAAGCAGGATTACCATGGCAAAACAAAATAACATCTTTGGATGTTTTGGAATTTACACATTCCATCATAAGCAATCTAAAATATTTCAAACCACATAACTATATAACAAACACTACAAGCTATAATATGGAGAACAAATATTTATACAAAATATACAGAAGGGAAGAAATAATATTTGTATTATTTCATTTTCAGCTTAATGAATATTTTTTAAGGTTTTATGAAATCAACACAGCTCGATTCTACAGCAATGCAGTTAAGGATTCAGCCAGTAATTAATTATTTCTAAGTTAATTCCACAATATGAATGTCAATTAAGTGTTGCTATAGTAAATTGTCATGCTTTGACTTTTTTTAGACACTGACAATGTGTCTAGATTAAAGATTTATGGAGTTTTTGAGTCCTTTTTAACTCGCCATACAGTAATGTAAATTAATTTAGGTGTGTGAATAATATTATGGCATTACTCCTTATTTATTATTCGATAATATACAGTGGACTAGCTCTTTAATGGTTATATTACAGACTTCTTTTCATCAATGTATTCATCATGTTAGTATTGTTTAGGATACCTATATCTCTTATAACATAGACTAGTTACAGAACCAATGTTTTATTATTTAGAAGTTAATTCTCATGAGAAATATGCTTTATGTATCACTGATGTCTAAAATATGCCAAAATGCAAGTGTTATAAATAATGACTTTTCAAATAAAATTTTGAAATCAGGCATCTTGTTTACCAATGCTATAATTTTTTTTTCTAAATATAATTATAACTAGTTAGTTTAATCAAAAAATTTTAAATGTTTGTTATTAACTGACTTTAGTTTCTTATTTATCATGTACTAGAAATAAAGATATAAGCTTTGAAAGGCTATATTATAACTTAATTGAGCTAATAATTTCAGAATCCATTAGTATCCATTTAACTGCCTTATTTAAGTTACTTTAGGATCATATGGTTAACTTTGATTAACTCAAAATGGTATAATATTAAAATGGAAGTTTCTTCTTCCATATAAAAAATACTGGTAATTTGGTTTCAGTGTTACACAGCTAACTTTTAGAAAGTAAATTTGTATTATACCATCATTGCAAAAATTAAATATTACTGGGGCTAGTGTGAAGAAGTTAAATGTTGTTACTTGAACACAATAATACAACATTATCTGAATTGACTTTCTGATTTAATTCTTATTTATTCCCTAATAGTTTTCAAACCTCATAAGATAATACTATAACTATCAAAAGTTTTATAGTGCAAAGTATATTTGCTATTTTGATTTTTTATTATGTTTTACTTTGAATATAGGCTACTTGAAAAATATAAAAAAATACTAGGTTCTTACTTTGGCTAAGTGTTTGTTTGTCTAACGAATTGGTGATTGTTGTATTACTACATCATAATACCCTATAATGTGTGGGACATTGTAGGTCTTGGTTGGGTTATAAATACATGTCCAAAATGTAGGTCGAGTTAGTTATATAGATAGGTAGATCTAGACTGCATGATTGTGAGTTTAGCCATAAAGAGCATATAGTGATGATTTTAAAGTGAAGTTATCACAGATTGTATTGTAATAAAAATGTGGAGAATAATAATTCATCTTGTCAAATTGTGTTCTAAAGTAACTGAACTAGCCGGTATGAAATTTGACAAAAAAAAGAATTATTTAAAGCTCTGGATATATCTTTGATAACCAACAGTGTAATGAACATTTGTAAATACGGGTGACTTATTTTGATATATTATCTTAAAACAAGTGGACTGTGTGCTGTTTGTTTATTGTTGAAATTTATTGCAAACAAGTCAGAGACACCTACTGAAAATAATCCATTCTATATATAAAACCTGTCAGAGACAATGCAACAGGTGAGCGTGTAACCCTATTTTGAAAAGCCAGCAAGCACAATCCAGGAAATTGGGCAGAACACCCCTGCTGCTGGCTTTTTCTATGATAGTCCATGAAATAGATACAATCAGACAATAGTCAGATATATAGATACACTATGAGGATATCTCAAGTGGTCTTGCATAACTTCCCATCTCACAGAGAGCATGTATGGAGCCATGACAGATGATATGATCTCTTTCCATTACTCTGGCTGTCAATGCTTTCAGTAGAGTTGGTTTCCTCTTTTCCTTTATGTATATCTAACTCTGTCTTTTATCTCAGGTCCTGGCCTTTATTCTTGACATTCCTTGTTGTGTTCTCTTTATGGTACTCCTTTGACTGGCTCAACCTTGGTTCCCTCTACTTTACCTACATGACAACCTGACCCCGTCTTCCCCTGCTAACTATATCCTTTGCTTCAATCTTGCATGTCACTATTCCATCAAGGGCTCTTATTTCTCCATGTTCATGTTTGAGACATGTCCCATCCTTTGCTTGTAGAATCTGACTCTTGAATCATGCAGCCTTCTTCATTTATCATTCCATTTCATCCATCTAATAGTGTAAGTAGTGTGTCTTTTGCTGTTGGTCCATTTGTCATCACCTTCATCTTGACCAATCTACTGTTGGCCATCTCTCCTCTTTCTTTGCCTGGCTGTTCAACCATGGATTAGCTGTTTCCACCATTGCCAGTTATCATGCGACCTTGTCCACAAAATTTTCCCTTTCTCGATATCACAGGGTGTTTTCCTCCCCAGTTCTCTCCACCTTATTCCATTAATTCCTTCTCCATAAACCCTTTCACCTCACTCCCATTCCTGAATGGGACCTTGGTGTCAATATGTTTGCTCATACACGTGAATCTTTCAAGTCATTGGCAACTTGCACCTAATACTGTCTTTCTCTCAAAACCTATTTTAACTAACTTATCACACGTGATTGTCTTTTTCAAATATTTATGCTATAGATTCTTCCCATACCCTCATTCATCCCTCTTATATTCTTTTTTACCCTAAGCAGTTTCTTACCTCTATGATTGATCAGACCTAGACAAACTACTCTGCCTTGTTTGTGCCATTTCTTGCTACTTCTCTCGTACCTCACAATTTTGAGGATCCTGTCACTGACTCTTCATTCCTTAGGATTCCTCTTCCTCCAGAGACATTCTCTTTGTACTCTTACATGTTGGGGCTGGTAACTTCTATGTTTAGTTTACTCCTCATTGGGAGTTGATGCTTACAGACTGTTCTACATTTCCTCCCATTAGATTTGTTACCTCACTCATTTCCTTCCTGATAGCTGCTGGATGAAATCCTCAGGAAGTCATGGGGACTACCTTACATACCTTCATCACCAACTGTCTTCTCTTCTGGCTGTATTATCCCCTGAAAGTTACCACCTGCCTCCGTTTGCTATTCTACAATCTACCCACCGTCTCTAGACAAGTAAGTATCTTTTTTTTTCTCATAGCATTCACTTATAGGGTCTTGCTAGGTGATAGGTGGTACCTCCCAGGGTATACTGATTTACGAAATTTCACAGGATAATGAAAAGTGCTCATACTATCCCTCCTGGCTCCATATATCTCCACTATGAGATGGGGTGTTCTGCAAACCACTTGAGGTATTCTTGTGTATATCTATATATCTGACTAGTGACTGATCCAGACAATTCCTATTCTATGGACAACCATGGAAAAAGCCAGCACCAGGGGTGTTCTCCCCATTTCCCTGGCTCATGCTTCCTGGGTTTGCAGAATAATAATAATATATGGTCACTCATTGCGTTGTCTTCAGTAAAAGGTCTTTCCAGACTGAAGGAGCAACAGGGATTTGGGCCTTTTTGTCTGGGTCTCCCCACTGCAAATTCTCCCCCCTTTTCTCATCAAGTGGAGTATGGTAGACCCTTGCCATTTACCAATTCCCAGCCACTAGGGTGGTGAATCATACAGAAACCTCACCAATTGGGACCTAACTGCTGGGGCGAGAACAAAGGTTGAAAATGGAGCAAGTGGTGGCACTGTCAGTGTAGTGCAGTTCACCCCTCCTATAGCTATAACACCTGCCACTTATGCCCTCCTCCTGTGGTCTGAGTCTTTTCAGTTGAGTTGAGATGAGCATACACTATAATGCTGTGCCCTCCTTCTGCAGAAGCTGGAGTCTGTTTAGTAGATTTGAGGCAAGTACATAAGACAATACTGTGTCCTCCTCCTGCAGTATGTGACTGTTGAGTTGAGCAAGCACATACCACTGTCCAGTGCCTTTCTTCTACATTCATTTCTGTTTAATAGTGTTAAGATTCACAACACTCTATACATGTGCTCTTCTCCTGCAGATGTCACCTGTTTAGCTGAGTTCAGATGAGCATGTACTAATAAACTGTGCTTTCCTCCTGCAGCTGATATCTGTTCAGTTGAGTCGAGGTGTGCACACAACATACCACTTTCTATGTGCCCTCCTTCTGAAGCTGGTGTTTGTATAATAAAGTCTGACAATAGAGTTAGGTGAGCACAAGGTATGGTTTGAATGCACCCCAACCATGCTACATGGATTGGCTCTCCAACCTCTTGTGTACCAGTAATCGAACAGCCATGTTCTTATTCTGCCCGTCTTTGAGACATATGTGGCTCGTTTGACTATTCTTTCTTTTATTCCCGGGCAAAGAGTATAAACTGGATGAGATGAGGCCTCTCATGGGTGTGGTCCTATGGAGCTTCTGCCATCAGGTGTCACACCCCATGAACTTCCTATGTGCACTTTCTGAAGGGAGCACATCTAGGTAATTCTTCCATCACTTCAACGTCCCTTCCATCATTTCAACGTGGGATTCTAGCTTGCTATGTCAAGATGTGTGGTACCGTTCAGAAGTTAGCATTTTCCTGATCTGAAAATGTATTTCCAATAGATACTCACCTCTGCAAACACATTCCAACCCATCCTACCCACTTGCAGTGCATATTTTCTTACTTGCCTTGCCAAAAAATCAAGAATCACAAGTGCCAATGCATAGAGGGAGTTAGTGCAGAAGGTTTTTGCTGCATAATAGTATCATTGTGCATTGGTGCAATTCACAAGAAATATGAGATTATCTGGGAGTTCACTAAAAGCTAATGGCATGCAAATCTTTAAGGCAGAAATGTGGGGAAGATAGCCTACTGTGTGAAGATATGAGTATCTATCAGAAATATATTGTCAGATAAGGAAAATGTTAACATCTATTCATTTATCTCATCAGATAGCAACAATTATCAAAGTAAGTTTTCATGTAAAGTAATAGAAAATAAAGGATAGTGTAAGATATAATTCACATCATAAATTTAAATGCTTCTTTTCCTCTTACCTATTTACATTTGTTTGTATACGAGCTTAGAATGTTGGAGTCTAAGGAGATTATAAAATTATGATAGCTCAACTGAAGCAGAAAACTTTATTTTTATTTACAAGGTCCAGATATGAAGATTTATGTAGAAAGTTGCATAGACTTGCCCTCAACATATGAAACTGTGCTTAACAGAGCACATTTAGCCCAGGTATGCAAACGTAAATACAGAAGTAATATACATAAATATTTATAAAGGTGAGTAATACTTCTTTGTGTATTACATACTTATAAGTTATATGTGTATCATGTGTACAAGAACTATAATATGTTTTATTTCTTTTAAAAGGATGGATTAAAGAAGAGGGAATAAATGAAAAATAGTCTGCTTCATAAAAAGTTAATTTTTATAGAATAGTAATTTCAAAACAATGACATAAAAAGAAATATAATTTTATGAAGGTGCTACACAAACTTGTCACATATTTTTGTAATATTTCATAAACTTTTTTTGGCTTCAGATTAACCAACTATGTGTAGATGTTTAGTTGTTTTGATAATTAATTTTTCTCTTCATCATTTCATATTTACCTTTTGAAGTCAAAGCTGAAGGCATAATCTTTTAGCTTATGCTTTTCTGGCATATTTAAGTAAAAAGAAAAAAAAATTAATGTACAAATGTACTCACCTACCATTCTAAAAGGTTAATCTTGCATTTTTATACTCATAGACCTTCATCAGGTAAGTGTAGAGATCAAGAAATTGTAATAAAAATTAAAGTGTTCAGAATTTATAAGGCATAAGAATGTATGGAATACATTCTTTAATGTTTTGCTATGCTAAATGATTTTTTTTATCAGCATTTGTTCCTGTTAATTTTATTGTTACACCTCATTAATATAATTTTTTATGTAAAATGCTACTATATGTTGAGATTAAAAGTATTAATATAACTAGATAGTTATAATGTGTGACTTGATTGGTATTACTTTAAATTAATAGTTTTACTTGATTCCAAGGGTTAAATTAATGGTCTTCTGTTTATATGTATATCTTGTTATGGTCAGTCATATGTTATCAAATATATATTGGTTTTGAAAATATCTCTCTACCCCTGTTTTACTCCTTTGACACTTTTTGTACTTGGAACTTTTTTGAAGTTGTTTGAAAGTAGAGCTAACAGTGATATTGATTTCACTTTTATTAAATATCTCAGCAATTTCATGAATTAGCCAAAAAACAAGCAAGTACTTGTAAGAATCTAGTTCATGACCAACATCTTCAGCAACAAGGGTGGGCAGCTGTTGTAGCCAACCTTGATGATATTACCCGGTAAATGTTTATTTTTTCTTTATTTCTGCTATAGCTATTTATATTGACCTGTTATATAGTAATATTCTGAGATTTCAAGTAATGTTGGCAATTATATAGCAATTTCAAGAAAGAAAAAAATAATTTGCATAGTTAATATGCTCGAAAGGTAAAGGAAATTTGAAAAACTAAGTATAGAAAAAATTCATATCAAACAAAATGTCTGCCCTTAGAGAGCTTTTGAGCTCACTGTTATGTCAGACTTTTAATAATAAGATACTATGTAAGAAGCTGAAATGGTCTGTTTTTAATTCATTTCAGTTTTATCAGTGTATTCTTTGTGTGTTGCATTAGTATTAACTTTTGTAATAAGATAATTCATTACAACTTAATTATAACTTCTTGGTAGATAAATTTTGCTGTCAGATAAATCTTTATAATTGTGCACATAAAGTGTAGTTTTCTTCTTTTTTTCATAGTTCAACACAGCATTACATTCTAACTAATGATACCATGTTTTTGATGAAATGTGGCTCTGTTTTTGATAATTAATTTTGGTTTTGAAATTAGTGCATTTAGGAGTAGAACTGAAACTTTTAAGCAGAACTTCAGTGAGTATCTACAGAGCAGGAGCTATAAAGTTGAACTTCTCCATAAGTAAGTCCACTTTCTTTGTTTTTTCCTTGCCATAGAGTACAAGATAATTCTCAAATCTTCCTCTTCTACTTTTGTTTTATCACAACACGAAGTTATCAGTTGTAAAATTTTTTGTTCGTTTATTTTTAAGGCCATTCTGAGAGAGATGTTTCTCAAATATTTTTTAATGTAGTTTGATTGCAAAATTTCTTCAAACATTAAACAAGAACTAACAGAGACCTATAAAACATTTGTAGTCAATTTAGTATCTTTATCATATCAGTAATTCTAGAATACCAAAGGATTCTGATTGCAGACACTGTATGGCCTATGCTTGATAAAGTAATAAATTAACACTGTAACTTGTGTACATGTTTTGTTTTAGTTTAGTTAAAGCTAAACTTTATAGTACTTAATACTCTCAATAAGTAAACTTATTATGATATTCTAAAACCTAATGTTAGACAAAATATTTGCTAAAGTTTATTTACATCCACTGAAATGAAGTGCACATGCATGCACATTTAGATAGTAAGATGCATGTGCACTTTCAGGACAGATAAAAACTAAGTATTATTATAATAGATTATTATGTATTTTCAGTTCTGATAAAAGCTCATTTGGCTTTTATTGTGCTTTTCTTTGTGTATTATGTTTATAAATATCATAATTTTCCTTTTACTCTACTGTATCACATTTCTTAATTAATACCTTTGAAATTAATAAAAAAACTACTCAATTTAATCCATAAGGACATTTTTAGTAACTCACCATGGGGTTCAAGGTTTGTGGCCTGTTGCTATAAAAACTTGTTCCTTACTTTGGGCCTATGAGTGCCATAGAAGAGTGATGGTCAAACTCCTCCATTTGGTCTGACTGTAATTATCTTCCCTTTAGTTAATCAGTTCAAAATTAGGGAGAGCTGTACAAAGATAACCCCTTGCATAGCATTGCTGAAACATTTGGAAACAAACAATTATATGTATATGTATAAAAGTTTTGATAAATATGTCCACATAGTGTATGATATTTTGTTATTGTTGTATGAATAACTTTCTGACATATTGTATATTAAATATATCTTAATATCTTATAAAGGTTTTTGATTCCTTTAGTTTAAAAAAAAAACTGCTCATCATAGAGTTAGCATTATATTTTTTGTATATTTAGAAATATTGTATTTATAAGCACCTTATAGTATTTTTGTACTTGTGTGTGTATATATATATGTGTATATATATTTATCCAGTTTTAGCCATGATTTAAGCCTTCTGTCCAAGATACCTATCTTACCATCTCTGTTATGTGGAGTGTCCCAACAGGTGACAGATTCTTTACATGGAGATAGTACTGCATTGACCTTGTTACAGTGGATAAGTTCTCAGGTTAATTAAGTGTATTAATTATTTAACTTATTTTCTGTTATGAGTTAGATATGATTTAATTTTACATATCTTCTTCAATAGAACATGGTGAAGAACTTATCATAGAGAGGCTGAAATATTATTTAAAAATCAAAAGCAGGAGAACTATAAGTATATAATTGAAAATAAGACATTTATTTTATATTTATCATGTAGGTATATCTATGAGAGTAGTAAGTGGTAAATGCTTTGATTTATATAGCTGTGTTAGCATACACACCTATTTTAGCTTAATGTATACTAAAGTATGTAATAAATGATATAGGTTTTTGCAGCTAACCATGTTAAAAATATAAAGTATACACCTGGAAAAAAGTTAAGCACCCCCGTGTTTTTTTCAGGTGATTCAGATTCGACATTCTTGTGACTGATTATAAATTACCATTCAATCTAAACGTGTTTATCAAATGAAATTATGCATTGTTGGGCACAGAAAACAGATTATACACCGTAAATAACAATTTTTAATTTACATATCATGACATCAAAATATGGACAGTTTTC